GTCCCATGTCTTTAATGAAGCAAATGCCTGTTCAGGTGTCGGCTATAGATCATCACCTTGTAATCCCAACCACATGACGTTGCAAGCTAAATAAAAGGTACAGATAATTAATGCAGCATTGTCTAGTTGCATCCTAAAGGACCTAAAATGGAGGAAAATGGCCATCTCAGCATGACTTGAAGCAAGTAACATATTTATAATTTATTAGCCTCTAGACATATTACACTGCCGCCAAACATGTAGGTGTACAGGAATAGGATAACCAGTCCATGCCAGTGGTAACTTGGAACTATAATAATGCAGCAGGCCACCCTAATTGAAAACTGATACACATAAGAAACCCAATTAAAATTAATGTTTTTAGTATTTTAAAATTTGTAACACCATGCGTCAGTAGACCAGTGCCACAGAATGAGCACTACATGCAATGTAATAAAGAAAAATAGTAAAGGCAATTATTATAATGCCTGCAACAGCAGACACCGAGCTACAAGTCCTCTGTTAGATGTCATGATCCCAAGACTGTAAAGACTATACTGAAGCAACGTAACACCTGTGCTGCCAAGTTTTAAGTGTTTTATGCAATAAAATGAGATTAAGAGCCATAGCATGAAATGGAAATATCTTGTCAAATCTCCATTAATAAAATTAGTATATAAAATGGGAAAAGCAACCTAGTATCATCCTATTGACCTTCAATTGAAATGAAAAGTCATTCGGTGACTCACAAAGAAACCTGTAAAAGAGTTTCATACGCATGACTTGTTTCTCTAAGATTAGCTTTTGCCAGCACATTTCCAAACCTTCCACGCTACATTAAAAAAAGGAACAATAACCAAAAATTGATTTTCAGTTGAGTCTATACATTAAACTTATTCTTTGAAAAAGAGAAGGTTTGAAGGATCAGGAATAATAAGTTTAAAGACGTCGCACAAAAGGAATGCAACAAAAAAATCCATGAAACATCAGTCAATAAATATTCCTTAGCTAAGCCAGCTGTTTCTCGATTTCCTACTGATCTATATCAATTTCAAACAACAATTATTATCATCTTTCAAATTCAAATTAGCCACACAATATATAGATATTGTTTACTGAATTCTGCCTGCAGATTTGTCATCAACCAAACACACAAAATTTCACAATAACAAAATATTGTATGTGGCTATGTGTGTTCTAGACAGAAAATAAACAAAACCGAATTGTTATGTGCTACCCTGATACACATGATTTTGTGTAATATAGAGATATTTATCCCAATTGGTTGTTGAATCTGTAATAAACCTATAACAAATTTGAACAACAATCATGATCTATCAAAGTCAAAACCATGCAAAACATAGAAATCATGCATTTCTGTCCACAGGTTTCTTATCAATTAAACAAACAAACAAATAAACAAAGGAATTACTTATCATGCATTACATTTCCATTGACTGGTTCCAAACAGACAAACAAATACATAGAAACGAAATACAATACGTTATTATGTTTGTTTTTAACAGAAAATACACAAAAACCTAACTGTTATGCGTGATTAGGTAATGTTATATGGAAATTTAGGTCGATTGGTTTCATTTCTGTCCGCTGGTTTCTTATTAACCAAAGAAACAAACAAATACACAGAAACGAATTATTATGCGTGATTATGTGTGATTTGGACAGAAAATACACAAAATCTAATTGTTAGGTGTGATTATGAGTGATATCGAGAAATTTAGGCCGACTGGTTCCTGAATATGTGAAAAACCTATAACAAATTCACGCAATAATTATCATCTATTAAAATCAAAACCATGCGAATCATAGAAATACTACAGTTTCCATCCGCATTAACCAAACAGACAAAGCGTACACAAAAAGGAACCGTGATGCGTGATTATGTGTGTTCTCGGAGAATTCGATCCGTTAGATCGCAAAATCTATGATTAATAGTTGAGAATTGAGGAAAGTTGTTACCAAAAGTAGGTGCGAGATTTCTGGATCGGGAGAGTTCAAGATCTTGAGGAAATTGAGAACAGCGACTTCGATGCTGGAAATAACATTAGAGAAATATTTCATTCTGAGAGAGACTAAATCACTTGATGATTCGACGAAGAGAACGAAAATTACCTCATGAGAAAGGAGGATATCGGAAGATAGCACAGTTGTTGATCGAAGCAGAATTTCTTCATCTAGGGTTAGACAGAAAGAGGAAGGAGGATATCGGAAAATAGCACAGTTGTTGATCGGAGTAGAACTTCTTCATCTAGTGTTACGGTCGCAGAAAAAACATTTCGCTCTTAGAGAAAAAGACTCAATCATTTTGATGAATCGAGGAAGAGAACGAAAAATACCACATGAGGAAGGAGGATATTGGAAAATAGCAGAGTTGTTGATCGGCCATGGATGAACATCCAAGAATTATTTTGTAGAGCTTCATCTAGGGTTAGCGTCGTCGGGACGCGTAAAATGCAAGACACAAGGAATTGGCGGCATTAATAAATAAATCAGATTTTGATTAAAATTTAATTCCAGCAAATCACTAAAAGTGAGAATTTGACTGTGAGGCTTATTCTCCTTGAGGCCCAAAAATAAATTCTTTCTAGTCCATGAAGCCCTATCAATAATTCAATTCATGGCACTTGGGCCAAAGGCCCAGTAATGTCAAGCCACGGATAACCGCATTCTTTCACTTATAGGGCAACGATTCAATTTCGGCCCTTTATGAATTTGTTAAAAATAATAATAATAATAATTTAATTCATGACCTCCAAATTTGAAGGGTGAATTTGATTTCATCCACAGCCTTTCAACTATTTGGTACCACTTTAGTTTTTTTTTTTTTTTTTTGACAAGGATAATGATTAGTAGGTTAGTATTGTTAGATATTAGTAATTGAAGATTCGATCCCCAAATATAGTGAACAACCCACCAACCTCAATGAGGCACGCGACCATCAAACCGCTTAGTGGAGTTCAGTATCACTTTAGTCTTTTGCGTTTTTAGCTTTTTATTTTAATCCATTCTAGTTCTTGTGTTTTTGTTTATTTTACTTTAATTATGAATTTTTAAAAAAATTGTTATCTCATATTATATAATTTACTTTTAATTTTAAATACGTAATTTTTGCAAAAAAAAAATATTTTTCTTTTCACCCTACAAACTGCATTTGCTTTTCTTCATGAAGTGCTGTAGTTTTAAACTATACTCTCTTTACCTTTTCAACCGTGGAAAAGAAATTTTATTTTCTAAGGATAACAATACATTATTAGAAAAAAAATATCTTAATATAAAGAATATAATAAAATAGAATTCTGGCCTTAATCATCAATGGGAAATAAGAATGTAAAACATCATTTTTTTTTTTGGCCAACCTAATCAACATTAACAAATTGAACTTAATGTTTATTCTTTGACGAAAAAGGGCCTAAATCATTGAATGAGCATGAAGACCTAGAGAAAAT